CTTGTGTTTATGTTTCAAGTAGTTTTTGAAGTCCTTCCACAATGGAGGTAACTTCTCTATAATGGCAGCCACTTGAAAAGCATCATTCACAACCAATCCTATGTTAAAAGATTATGTGAGTATTAAGAATAGACTTAATATTTCCAACATATGTAATAAATAAATTTGTACCTTCAGCAAGGAGATCATGGATTATGACCTGCAATTCTTGAACTTGGGTGATGACGGTCTTACTATCTATCATCTCATAGTCCAGAAACTTTGCCACAATAAACTTCTTCATTCCGGCATCCTCTATTTTGTACTTTCTTTTTTAAAGCATCCCAGAGTTCTTTTGAGGTTTTGACATTACTGTACACATTGTACGGATCATCTTGCAGGCCACTCTTAGTCATCATCTACATCAACCACCATATAATATATATATATATTTTAAAAATCTTTTATTGATATAGTAATAAATGAACTTGTATTTTTTTATGGAAATTTTATTTATTAATTTTTAGATAAATTAAATTCATTTAAATGTGGATGCAAAACAATCAATCTTAATTATTTAGTGTTCGTATTTTAATACAAAATCATAATATTCAAACATAAATTTAGATTTAGACACTTTAATTTTAATATTCATATATGCATTTATGTTCAAATGCTTATTAATTATCTAGATATCAAGACCTTGTTACGGGTCTCAATTGTCCAGATCTATTCAAACCAATGAAGTGGTTGTAATGTAAAGGAAAAAAACAGACTTATTTGGATGGTTATTACTTGATACTCATTGTATTAAATTATATATATATTGTTAGTTTAAATATAATGTTTACTTTGATTGTTACTTAAATTCTATTGTTTCGTATCATATCGTTTAAATCTATCGTTAGGTAACAATGAAAGTATTTGTTTTATGCAACGACCGATTTGGTGTGATCACGTCGTCACCTTACTATTTTCTTCTCATTTTGTCTTTATTCATTATTTAATAATTGTGTTTTATCTTTTACCCTACCTTGTCATGGTAGCTCTACCTCGTCCCTACTTTTCTTATAGGTTTATCATTCAAATTATGAATGTGTGACATTATGTAACGACAGAGAACAATGCAATCTATCCAAACACTTTATTCATTAAAACAATACAATATGATCAATACAATACGATACATGATGAAATAATACATGTCAATCATCCAAACTAGGTGTTAATGATTGAGATCTAAATGATCAAAGATTCAAACTTAAATAAAAAATAAGTGTACGTAATAACTGAGACCTGAATGATTACTATTCAAACTTTCATTATGTGTAGACAAACGAGGTTTAAACGTAAGATCAATGAGTCGAATCCAATATACTTACACCACCACACATTACAATTTATTAGTTTTATATTCAAACCTTCATTATGTGTAGATAAACGAGGTTTAAACGTAAGATCAAAGAGTCAGATCCAAAATATTTACACCACCACACGTTACCATTTAATAAATTTATATTCAAACCTTCATTATGTGTAACGAGGCTTAAACGAAAGATCAATGAGTCGGATTCAAAATATTTACACCACCATACATTACGATTTAATGGATTTATATTCATTTTCCTCGAGCTAACTTAATTTTAAGGTTAAATTTTTTTTATTTTCACTTTTAAGGGTAAAGAAAAAGGAAATTGTTATTAATTCTCATTATGACACGACAAAAGAAAGAAGAGAAGGATCTCGAAGCACTTTTTTGGTTAAAATTCTCGATATAAGAGGTTTGATTATTCTTTTCTTTTATCTCATGTTATGTCTTTTGTGTTTTCATGATTTATATGTCATAATTTAGGGTTCATATTTCTAAAGAAGATCAAAGATAATTATCCTCAACCTCCATTGTATGATAAGGCAAAGATATGATATTTGGTTCTAATTTAACTTTAAAAACTAGCTCACGAGGAGATAATTTTTTTAGTCCATATAAAGAGATCACCAGTCTATTTTTCAAATATTGTGAAATTTTTACCTACTCTAACACCCCCTTCACATCAAGATTCCAATATTTTGTCACAAACATGTTCATAGCTTATCTATAATTGATGTCTTTGAGATACATGCATATAAAAAGAACCATATGTTTGGGGATTGATGTGTTCTTTTGTGTCATGTTTGCATCCTAGATCTACCAGAATTTAGATGTCATATTTACAAAATTAAATAAATGAAAATTGATTCCCAACCTCCTTTCTCTACAAATTTATTTTAGGAATCTCAATCATAAGCTAATCTACCCAATGAGTACATAAAAAACACTTGATAAAATTAAAATACAAAAAGAAGATCAATAAGTACTCATAAGAGGAAACCCACATTTTCCTTGAATTTTTTCAAAAAGCTATTTTATAAGAAAAAATGACAGAATATTAAAGTTAATCAATCTATTAAAGTTTTCGTAAAATATAAAGTCCCCTTCAAAGGTAGTAGCCTAGTAGGTACTCCAAAACTTCATCATTTTTAATTGGGTCGAGTTATTAGAGCCCATCAACTAATCGAGTCGGGTAACGGTGCAACCCAGACTCGCGAATGGCGCGTTTGCTCAAAATACGCAGACCCAAAAATGGAGGGAACTCCAAAAGCTACAAGGAGGGAAAAAAATTGCCAATAAGTAAATGCAATTAAAACACAGAGACTCTGCATTTATTCACATTTTTTCTCTTCTTCTCTTCCATTATTATCAAATCATACTAGAATTTTGAATTCTAAACTCATAAATTTCGAATTCCGGATACTTTTTTTATTAATGGATCGAGTTACCTTGTAGCTAAGCCGAGGCGGATTCAGGATGGATTCAAACTCTTACGTTTCTCATGTCTATTATTTATTGTAGTTGAAAGTTATGAGTTCAATTGAACTCGTAGAAGAGAGTATGCAGAGATTTGCACTAATGGATTGAGTTACATTTGAGGCGAGAGGATGCAGATATCTGAATACCAAGGTATTTATGCTGTGTGTACTATTTTGATATTGAGTAATGTTTATCGATTATGCTTGATGATTAATGTGTAATTTGTTGTCAAATTGAAGTTGTAACTTGTAACGTTCACGTATATGGCTGAAATTAATATGTGATGATTCGTGATTGTGTGTAGTTTCTTTTATAATTGTTAGTCCTGAAAAAAGCATTAGTATCGCCTATTTATGTGGTTATGATTAAATGTGAGGCTTCATCTGGGTGAATTATTGATAATTCTGGTGCTCAACACTTGCACATTATTGTTACTGTTCTCATTTTGTATTCCCATTTTTCAAACTTGTTTGAAAATGTTTTATTTAAGAAGAACGTCTATCGGAAATAATCGTTCTATCTTAATGAGGTAGGCATAAAATCTGCATACACTTGACATATTGTTGTTATATAGATGGTTGAGTTCATTTCTTTTGACTTGAATCATGTATATGTAAATATGCGGAAAAAGTTACCAATAGTATCCGTGTGCAGTAACCACTTTTGAACCAACTCGATCGTTGTAAATGTTGAATCTACCTATGTACTTGTTCAGGTTAAGAATTTGTCATCAAAATTGCTGAGATTGAATGTAGGCTTTTCTCAGCTTCACAAAGTTGCAAGCTAAAAAGTCCTCTTTTTCCAGTTAACTCACGTAGTTTTAATGAGATTTCAGTACGTTAAGTTACCATCAGCAGTAGCAGGTGCATTAACATGTTCACTTTTGAGTATTACTATTACTTCAAGGTTCAAACTATGTGTAGCAAAGAACATAAAATACCACAATGCTGTCCAGTTTAGGCTATTACGTAACTCAATGTGGTGTTGTGGCTACCTGAAGAAAGATAATGGGGCTCTGTAAGTCTGTTATACATGCCAATATATAGATCTGATTTTCCTATTGGTGTCAATGTAGTTTTCTTTCCCTTGACTTGAAAGAGAAAGGAAATGTAAATTGCGGAATTCAAGCTAATTAGGAATAAACTGATTGAATAATTCAATAAATTGTTGCTAACTAAAGAAACTCCATAACTTTTACCTAAAAAAAACTTATTATCTCATTTACAAGTTAACCAGATACACCTATCTTCTTTTTACCGACTGGTTTAGATACTGAATGTTGTTAGATTGTTTTGGCTTTGGCATGAGTACTTGGGTAGCTATATTCAGGAGGCTACTCCTTTGTCTTCATTTGTTTTCCCATTAGTCCTATTTAACTTGCTGGCTGGAAAATGGAACCTTGCCAATAGCGGTCGAGGTGCTCGCGTCTTATGATCAAATCCTCGCACACAAACAAACCCTGAAAAAATACAATATCTATTCATCAGAAAAGCAAAAAGGTTTGCAGCAGGGGACGTCAAACTCTTCTTGTTAGCTAATATTCTATTGTCATAGCCAAATTTTCCCATTTGTCCAAATGCTTGTGGAACAAAATATTAATTGTCAAAAATGGTGCATTTTTACTATTATTGTATACTTTTAGTACTTATCTCAGACCTTTTGTAACATATGTTCAAAACCAGTGTCCTTTTTCAAATGAATCTTACAGCTGTGTGTACCTCATGTTTGTGTTCCTGCTTCATATATACCAAAAAAGGAGTCCTAGGAATGCTTATTTTCCAAAGGGTCTCACACATTAAATTGAATAGATAATGTTGAAAACAAGATTCTTGTTCATAGAGTGTAAAGAAGTCATTTTTGCATTGAAATCAATCATCACATGAATTAAACAAAGAATAGAACAACATAAATCGTCATTGTAGACTACCATGGTCCTAAGCTAAAAGTACAACTATTGTATATTCTAGCCCCTAGCCTGGGGGACCTTTTTTTTAGGGATCAGATTGGTGAAGGTGAGGGCTGGGGGACTCAACGTTGTGAGAGGTAGAAGGCAAGCAGAAAATAAATAGGATTCTCAACAAAGGTGAGCATTTTGATCCTTGTTTCCTATGTTTTAGGGTTTGCTCTTGACGATGAGTGGTTATATAATCCTTGTTTCCTAGGTCTTCTGATGCTTCTTTTCATTTTAAATTTTGACAATGGCATGTTAAATGTTAAACAGACTAGACTGTGATCCATTTTATCTCTGTGTTTAACAGGATGGCATCTCAACATAAAGCTAGTTTAACATGTAATTTTCATGGGTTTACTTTGTTGAAATGGATAAGAAGCTAGCTTTTCACTGCAAATATCTGAAGGATTTTCCATTTACATACCTCTCCAAAAGCAGTGTTGGATACTTTCTGTGTTTAAACCTGATGAACACAACAAATTTCAATGTTATTTTACTCCCAAAACTTTCTAAATGAGGTTCTATCAGTTTAGTGGTTCTTTCACCTTTGAATATCGTGGGTATTGAGGTTCCAAAGTAGACAGTCCGCCGTGGGAGATTCCACAGCCAATCCCTTGGGACATTGATTGGGTTAAGGCTGGAGTCATGGTCCGCGAACACCTGCAAAGTAATTTCTATCAATGAAAACCACAATATTTGATGCGAAATCTAGTCTTTGACGTGTGGAACTATAAATGAGCTAAAAGTTGGTTATATTCACCTCATTGACCTGAAAGTATGTACCATTGAGTGGAAAGCTTCCTCTCATAGCTGTTCGACATGGTATCTATTGACAAGAACAATGATTAATCATACTGTATGTATCTTTTTGGCTGTTTACTCATATGAAATGACCACTATTGGAGTCTCTATGGATTTTCTTACCAGAAGAGTCCCTCTTACTGTTTGAGATTGTGCTTCACGTATGCTGTTGCATGAGGAACAAGTCTCATCTTCACATAGTTGGCCAGATTCTTGAGAGTTGCACTGAGTTTCTGGAGGTTGCATTGAATTTGCTGTTTCACCTGATGTGAATTTGATACAAGTCGTGAAATCAGTCAAGTGCTGAAATGGGGATACGAAAGTTAACTGATATTACCTACAACTAATTAAACTAACCCATGAAATTTGTATTCTATATTTACCAACGTGATAGCTATATCAATAGTTCCTTAAGCATGACCTAGCTAATTCATCTATTTTCCTCATTACAAGAACTAGTGGAAGGAAGCCTTCCAAAATAAAATTCTTCAATATATAGCATTACAGTTCTTGTGATCCTACCTGGTGTCCAAATAGCAAGAAGATAGGAAGAAGGATCATCTGGTTCTCTTTTGTCCAACTGCAAAATGAAAAATGTAATTCTTTGGAGGATTAGTTTTATATCTGCTTGGCTGCTGGTTATATGCTGGACATAAAACTAATACTAACCCCTTCCAAAAGAGGATGAGAATCTGGAAGTTCATAGCTGTAGGAGGAAAAACAATTGATAGTTAGTACACAAAGTTCTTTAAACATTGTATTACCTTGAGAAGTACAGTCTATCCTTGACTCTTGTTAGTGCTTCTTTGGCAGCATAATTCTATTTTTATGATGCAAAATCAGGATTGTTTACTTACACTTGATGTTCAGTTCTGAGCCGGCTAACATTCTTAAGTTTAGGCGTGGGAATTGATGCAGCTTCTGAAGTCAAGGCTACTAAGGCATTCGACATTTCTACCTGATGAAGCTCCATATTGTTTTCCACATACTTCTTTACATTTTGAGTAAACTCTGCCATATTCAATTCAATCATAGGAATTTCATTAGGATCTTCAAAGTAAGCGTCTTCTATGTCAATTTCTGGTGCTTGTATTTGCTCTTGCTCAGGTGTGGAAGGAACTTCAACAATGGGCTCTGGTGTTGCTGGCACTTCAATAATAGGAGCTGATTTGATCAATTTCTGATTCTCCACTGGTTGTTGATTACCCGGAGGTAATGGCAGAGGCAGGTGCGTGAAATTTTCCCTTGGATTGTTGTTAGTGGCTTTGTGTTCTGTTGCACTGACAATGCTTTTCTCTTCCGGCGCGGGAAGGGCAAGCCTTGCACTGAATGAGGCATTTTTATTAGGTCAAGTTTGTGAAATATAATGTATCTGAGTGTTTAAACAGATAATGGTGCTTGCAGAATGGATATCATCAATAAGCTGGTTAATTTAAGAAGCCATCTCAAAAATGGATGCATCTAAAATTTTTAGCATGAAATTGCTTTATCAGTGACTGAAATTTTATTTACTAGAATGCATCATGGATATGGAGGGTTAGCTTGCAACGGACAAGCGGTTTACTGCCACATAGTAGATTTTTCATACCAAAAACATAGTAGAACTATGATCCTTTGGGTTTGAGTATAATAGTTTATGTACTAGATGTTAAAGAATGACAAAAGTCCCACATTGGTGGTTAATGAGATGAGTGGACTCCTTACAAGGCTTGGGCAACCCTCCTCCCTTTGAGCTAGCTTTTGGGGTGTGAGTTTTAGGCCCAAGACCTAATTCTACACTAGAAAGAAGATAGTTGGACAAACAGGACAGAAGTATTTTAGCTGCAGAAAGTGTAAATCGTAATATGCTAACCTTGCAAATGCACTTGCAAAGTGTCTGCATTCTCCTCTCAATGGACATGCATTGCAATTGGGTTTGCTTTTTGTACAGAAGACCTACATGAATTGTAAGAGTGTCTTTAGCCTTTGATTCTAGATATCTACTACTTTTAGGAGATATCATCTAATATATTGACATACCTTCCCAAAGGTGATCATATGATAATGTAGCTCATATCTGTAAGTAAGATCTTAATTAATGGACCATTACTGATTGGAAGAAAAAATAAAATAGTTTCTAAACAATCTTAGTACGAGTAGACAATACTTTTTATCATTTGATTATTACCAAAAGATTGTCATTGGACTACTTACTTTTAGTTACAACTCAGAGCTCGACATCTGTCTGTCTGTATATATGTAATTGTTTAATAGATGCTACTTACAATGTTCTTTGATCAAGCTTGCAAAGACGTGGCCATAGGTACTGTTGAATTGACTCCAGTATTGGGTACCTGTAGGAATACCACAGAGTTAGCCTTGCACTATGTATGCAATTAGAGATTTAGATTCACGAATACTCACAGTTCCAGAAGATGCAACTGTAGTGACTCAGGCAACGGCTGCAGGGGCACCCACCCTAGTCTAACAGCTATACGCCCTACATTTACGTCAACCTTATCACAGCAACACAAAAATTAGTGTGATTGAATGACTATTTCTCATATATTTAACTCTTCCAAAATTGGTTTTAGGTCTTACAGGGAAAGCAAGGTGGTGAAGTGTTAAAAGTCTCACACACTCCACGCTCTTTAGACCCAAGCCCCTTATGCTCAGTAGATACTCTCTGAAACCATACATTTGAAATTTGTTATAGTTTGTATATGACTAGAATCTTACACAAGGGAGATTATTTGGAATAATTGCTGGCTTACTTTGCTTTGTCTGGTGGAACATCTCTCAGCCATTCAAGATCAATGCTTCCATGATCACTAACAATCCGGTTAAGAAAAGCCTGCAATAGCAAGTTTATTTTTTAAAATAGAGCAATCATGGGGATTTCAGGCAAAATAAATACTGTAGATGTATATGTTCTACAGTATGTAAGGGAAGATTGTGTACAATAGACCCAATGTAGTTTGGTCCTTCTGTGGACCCCACACATAGCAGGAGCTTAGTCCTATGGGCTGTCTTGCATATGTTCTCTTGTCCTCAGATATTGCAAAGAAGGTTATGCAATGCAATACTCATGTGTGTACCTGGATTCTCTCTGCCAGCTTGTTGTTCATTCCTCGTTCTCTAATTGTATGGGCTATCTCATTGACATTTGCACACCTCACTGCTTCATAGTCCAGTGAATCCATTGTGTTTGCTGATTTTTCTCTTTTCTTGCCATTTGCCTGGGCTTGTAACCGTAAGCTGTCCCAATCAATGTTCTCTTTCTCCTTCCCAAGCCGTCCATTTTTTGCTTTAGAAGGACTGTCATTTACTTTGTCTACTTTGCTACGGACATGATTACTGTCATTTTTCAAGTTTGACTCCAAACCTCTTTGCTCAGGCTTGCATGAATCAAAAACTACGCTGGCCCTTTCTGTGACATTTTCAATGGTTTCTGAATTGGTTGGGGCTTCTGGAACTTGCTGGACATTGCAATTGCTATCTTCAGTTGGAAATTGTAGTTCAACATTGTCTTCTGCATCAGTCACTGTCTCTATGTCCAACTTATTTTGAGGGTTCATTGTGTACAGTGCTGAATGTGCAGATTCTGCCGACAACACACTTTTTTGGGGGGCAATAAGTTCCTTGCCAAGGAATGGAACGTTTTCACCTTCTTGTAAATGTTCAGTGCACCGGGTTCCTCGTGCTCCTGAAGTTCCTGCCATCTGTAATAGCTTCAAAAAAGAAGTGGAGCTGCAAAAGTTGCTTGAGTCAGTTCCTTCTGAAGCTTGAATAACTGCAGAATTCTCAGAAGAAACTACAGAACTTGGAGAAGAAGGCAAATCATTCAACTCTTTTCGATCTTGGAAACTTGTAACTGTTGATCCATGATACAGATCTGAGCCTTCTCTAGAAGAATCTGATTGCAGAATTACAGAACATTCTGCTGACTTTATGCATTGTGTGCTATATTCACTTGATTCAGAGTCATTGACAGCTGCTTTTTCTTCATTTGAATCTGTATTATAGACTCCTGAAGAATCCTGACAATGGGTTGACTGATTTGGTTGATCTTCATACCATCTGATAGAAACATTGGGGTCCGTTGCACACTCTTCAGGTTCTTCAATTATAATACCTGTGTTTCCTTCATGCTTCTGACTACTGTCTGTCTTCAGAGGAAAGTGGGCAGCGAGTGACATGAATGCAGAACTGTAAATAGGATAAAGTAAGTAATTTTAGGTACAAAAGTGGGCTAAGCAATATGTTGGCACTCCATCTTTGAATGTTTAGGAATTTGCCGGAAGACAGAAAAAAATTCCAAAACTGTAGAAGTTTATTGTTTCAGCTAACCTAGAAAGGTGATCTGAAACATTCTGTGTAAGATATACCCCAACTACAGAGTCCACAACAGATCCCTTCCAAGGTGAGAAGCGCCTGTCTCCTGACTCGCCCAAAAAAGAAGAAAATAAAATTTATGGTTATTACAATAGAAGAAAACAGGTCACTGACATTTTTTTTCTTTTAATATGGCATGTTTAAACTCCTACAGCATTCCTATGGAAATATAGTAAGGGTATGTGGAATCTTGGCGTGCAAGATCAACATTTAGTTGATGCCTCACTTTTCAATTGTTTTATATTACCACATGCTGAGTCACAGATTGAAGATATTAGCACAGCCATTTTTATCTTATTTAAACTAGCAATATTTTCTTCTACCTATGTTTCTAGTGAAGGAATCTAGCTAGGAATTTGACTTAGCCACTAGGAAAGGTTGAAGACTTTGCACAATTACCTTGGACAAGACGCATGCGTGCAATAAATGAGTCTGCTCTACTATTAAACACTCGACGTTCTTCCTCCCACCATTTTGCCTTGTCTTCATCTGTCCCATCAATGCCTTCACTGTTTATATCTTGCAGCAAAAGCTTCCATACCCTATCAGTCTCATCATCAACATCAACTTTTGGTCGTGGTTTTCGTTTTCTAACTAACGAACTTCCAAAAGGGACAATACTTCCATCTCTTTGATAAAGAACAAGGGCACTCTCCTTTTGAAACTTGGTGTGGTAGGTGATTCCATGTTGACCTTGATTTTGGCTGCTTTCTCTATTTAAATCAAGATGCCGCAAGTGTTCTGCAATTTCATCGATTGGAGACATGCCTCTCCATGTTAAAGCTGGCAGAGAACCTGCATTCAATGTTGTTAGCAAGAAAAGAGTTATGATATAATTGATAGTTTTAAGTATATGCCTTTAAGTACCTCTTGCATTTTTTGTGAGATGTTGATGGGTATATAAGTTGGAAGCTGCCGAGCTGACAAGGATGCTCTTCTTTGACTGCCTTTTTTTCTTCATTGCTGCTTGGGTGTCTGCAATTGGAGTTCCCATGCATGCACTGGATAGATGTGAAGTTTTATATCTTTCTCCAAATCCATATATTGGTGCTTCTTTAGATGTGGAAGTTGGAAATTGTTTGTAAATTTCACGCAGAGATGCAATGTCATGTACTTGAGTTGCGCCGTTTGATCTCTTCTTCCTTAACCTCTCTGCTTCCACAAATGTTGGCATAACATTGGAATTCCACATTCCGTAATTGCCTATATTGGTGGCAGAATTGTTGCTAGGGGAACCACTGATATTGCACTGAGATGAAGGCACGTAGTTAGTTTCACCAGTAAAAAGTTGGATGTAAGATGATGTTGAGATGTGGCCCTTTTCTGCTCTCATTTTCTTGTAAATAGCAGGAAAATGCATCCCTACATTACTATAAACATCAGGTTTATTTGCTGGAAGGATTGCTTGATAAGCCTGCATAGAATTGAAATACGCCCCTCTGGCATTTATGCTGTAGAATTGTGCTTCATCAGTTCTACATGAATGCTGTCTTTTCAAGCTTTTCCCATGTGGTAAGCATGAACTGCTGCTGCAGTTGGAAAAATTCAGGCTCTGTGGTGTCATTTGTAGTATGCTTGCCTGTTTATCATGAGTTAAATCTGAAAAAATGATTCTGCTATTTCTTCTTGTGCTTTCATTGTGATTCCCAACCATGGCTTTGTCATGATTCCAGCCAACCTTGTCTGGAGTTGGAGGACCAAGGTACTGCATTCCACGCTGTGATAAGTAATTTCTCACCTCCTGGTTCAGGGAGCGGGTGATGTTATGAGTTATGCCCACTTCTGTTTCTTCACTTGTGGCTTCTTTACCTTGTCCAAGCTGAGCAGACTGTGCTGTTGACCCGTAATTATATGCATGCAAATCCAAAGTTGAGGGCCTGTATGATGAATACTCATCACTTGCTTGGCTTTCCAATTCAAAACTCAACGATTTCCTGCAGGTTTTTCTAGAATGAGGAACTTCTGTTGGGTCAATTGTTCCACTGCTTCCCTCTTCAGAGAGTTTTTCCATGCTCATGTTAACTTGATTTGTTCTGACATTCCTTTTTGCTGTTGGAGTTTCTTTGGAACTAGGAGCCTTTCCCTCGTGAAAAGCTGTATTCTTTACCTCTTCTGCGGAGGTGGCTACGGGTCTGCCAGTTGTTCCACTGCTTCCTTCTTCAGAAGGTTTTTCCGTGCTCTTGTTCACTTGATTTCTTCTGACATACTTCCTTTTTGCTGTTGGGGTTTTCTCGGAACTAGGAGGCTTTCCCTCGTGACAAATTGTATTGTTTACCTCTTCTGCAAAAGTGGCTGCAGGTTCGCCAACCTTGTTTCTTCGGACATACTTCCTCTTTTCTGTCTTTGTCTCCTCTGAATCAGGCTGCTTTTGGATTCTTGGTTTAGGAGTCCTTTTAGGCTTGCCTTCTACAATCACTTTGGGCCTGTGCTTTCTTCGTCTTGGTTTTTGCTCTGGTGTATTATTCAGTTCAGTATCCAGTTTTCCTTCCAAGATCAGCACTGACTGCTCTTTATTCTGTTGGAGTTCATTTGCTTCAGCTCTCTTTATTATATCCTCATTTGACTGTATAACACTTGCTGCTGTTGTCACATTAATATCTAGGTTTGATGCATTAGATGCTTGCCCTTTAATCTTCATCATATCTGGTGTTACTGGTTCGAACTGGAACAGGATGTTGCTGCTCAAGGTTGCACCCGTCATTTTTGAAGGTGAATTCAAGTTGAAAGGGAAGCTGGATAAAATAGAGCTTTCATCTGCATGATGTGTTCTCTTATGTCATATTAGTTTATCAAGGAAATAATCACAAACTTGAAGCAACAAATTTCTTAAGATTTTGACATGTCACCTAAATCATGATACTGTTTGATGCTTAGCCGACTTGTTTTCATGGAAATGAAACCAAAACAAAACATGTTGGAGCATGTGCTACACGTTAAATATCGAATTACTTGTAGATAACAATAGGATAATTTGACTTGGAATGACACTCTAACAGTAGAACACTCAATCAGAGAAACACAGTATCATGGATCATATATGTGACCTTTTGTTTCCATTCTGATTATGTTCTAGGATACATTATTTTTAGTCCAAATTGGAACTTCAGCAAGTATTCACAGGTTGTTCAATTCAACATGAGCTGATTTGTGCATGCTGTGCATTCAAATTACCAAAGAATGATACTAAACTTGTTATATTTCATTGTCAAACATTTTGCAGGTCTTACAATGCACAAAGACACCGTTTTGTTAACGAGGCAGGTAAAAAGACGCTCTTGACATATACACGGAATGCAATTATTGTAATCTGAAAATCCTCCAAGCAGTAGGGTCATTACAATTAGTAGAAACGAATGTATCAATGACTACTTCATTTGTCTACCTGCATTCTGAGCATTGATGAGCGGTTGGAAAGAACTCTTCACACTATAAGCTGTTTCGTCAGCTGGCGTGGTGCCACTGCCACCAGCATGTGCCATCGCCAACAGATCCCCGAAAGACACACTACTCCACAAGTCTACATTATCACTAGGGAAGTTATTGTACATATTTATACCACCTTCACTCATTTCAGACTTTTCTCCCACTGCTGCTTCCGAGGTCATGAAGCACTGATCTTCTACTGAACTTGTTGAACCGCGATGTGCAGCAGCATTTTGAGCTTCAGCCGTGCTGCCAGTAGCATGTTCTAGTGCTTGTTTTCTTTGCAAATCTGACCAATCAACTTGAGCTTGCTGGTTTTCCTGTCCGTTACTGCAAATTGGTGGCGATTCTGTAAAATTTGGCTTCCCAGGAGTTGCTGGGATCCATGAACTGCCTTGGCCTATTTCCATTCTGCAGCTCTGCAAACTGGTAAAAATCCAATCTTTTTTTCCCTTTTTATTTTCTTCAGTTTGACATAATGAATTTCTTATGAGAAAAACTCAACCAATTCCGGCATAGATAAAGATGCAGGACTTAGATAAGGTTATTAATTTTACTGTACCAAATCTGTTTTATGAAATCATCCTGCAAAAAAAACAAGAATCAAAGATGAAATGACCCAGATTAAAAAAAAAATCCCAGAAATTACAGAAAAACATAAACAGAATTTCAGAAACTCTACCAGAATCCAAATTTATCAACACTTCCATTCAAATTTGTGAATTTACATCAAATGATTCATTTTATCACAGATCCCCAAAGACCAAAATCAGAATGTAGATTCTACATCAAAACAATAAATTTCAATTTTTTGTCAAATTCAAGAAATGAGTAGCAAAAATTAGGTCTTGATCAGTGAAAATTTCAGCAAACCGACAGAACAATAAATTCTACATCAAACCTCACCTCAAAAATCCCATTTTGTTCTGCAATTTCATAATGTCAAAAATTTAGAATTTTTTTTTGTATATATAACTGGTAAAGAAGTGTAACTTAATTGTAGAAATCTCAGCTGAATTTTACTCACCTGAAAAATGGATCTTTGAAGGAGATCTCACAGAATGGTAGAAGAGATATTCCTGTGGGTGGGTGAGAGAAAATAGGAAAGAAGCTGAAAACAGAAATACACAAGGGATTATTCATAGACTGGAATAAACCTCATTTTACCGATAAATATGTTTTTCTCCGTAAGCTGTTAAAAAAGCTTTAAATTATTTTGTGTTATTTTAATTGTACTTATGTGTTCTTAAAGATAATCAGGTAGAATGATAAATATTTCTTCATTTTTAATTAAAAGATTTTGAGTTTGAGTTTCATGCATATAAATTTAATTCGATTAAATTTAAATTCATTTTACTTTGAACTTACTTACTGACACGAATTTAAATTTAGTCTGATTAAAATATGGATATTGAATATTGGGTGGAAAAAAAAGTTATTGAGATAAAGGGTTTAAAGTTAAAAAGTATTAACTGCAGTTAAAGTATTAAATCTCTGTGAATTCGTTTAATTTGGGTCTTGACCACGTGCCGTGTAAGGAGAGTGGTCCTGTTTCGCATGTTTTCATGCTACTTATATTGTTAAAGTTAGCCGTTAGGGAAGTGGTAGTTATAACTAACTTTGGAGGCGAATTCAGAATTTAAAACTTATAAACTTTTAATATTATTTTAATAGACTTTTGTCATATACAGGTACACAGGTTTAGTCAAAAGTTGTTTTGAATAAGTGGTATATATATATA